TTATAGTTGACTAAAAACAAACCATGAAAATTAATAAAATTAAATACATTTTAACTGAAATACAATAAGTTTACATTTTGTTTTATATATATATTTTTTATTTCAGCTAGTTGCCAAGGCAACATCTCTCATTTTCATTTAGTTTAACTTGATGTACTAAAATGAATTAAACTATATGGACAAATAAAAATGGCAAAAACACAATATAAATTATTAAACACCTGGGACAAATGAACTTAATCAGGACAGGAACAGGAAACTAACCAAATAAGGGCATAGGAAGGCACATGGGGAACAAGACACACACAAAACATGGAACAGAGTCTATACCATCCAATGGGGGGGGGCACACTGGAGGTCCCTCAGGACAGACACGGGACAGTGCGGTACCCATTCTGGGTGCCATGGCGGATCCGGAGCCTCGGGAGGCCACGGCGGAGCAGGGGACTCGGCCTTCGAGGAGCTGGATCCGACACTGGAGCGAGCTCTGGGGCTGGAGCCGGCACTGGAGCGAGCTCTGGGGCTGGCACACTAACGTCCTTTCGGCTTGCCACATTAACTGCTGGCTGACTTGACTCGGGAACGGCCGGCGGAGGGTCTCCGGATCGGGATCGGAGACTCTCCAGACACCGGATGACTGTCTCCTTCCAGTCGAGGTTGGTGGTGTCTGGGAGCTCCGTGGGATGATGGAATGTTATCCCGATCCGGAACAGCGTTGTGAGGATTTCCCCCTCGAGGGAGCTGGTGAGGGTGAGCGGCATGAATGCCCTTGCAAAGACGATGGGGTCTGGGCTCGCCTGAGCCAACGTGATGAACATTAATCGTTCCTCCATTTGGGGACGTGGAGGAACGCACGGGAAAAAAACAAAAAAAACAATGCTGACTAGCGGTTTGCATGTGTACTGCACGTTGGCGCGGACACCGACACAGAAGTATAAATGAAAACTGACGCATAGCCTACGGCGTAAAGGCTACGGCATAGGTCCGATGCAGAAGTATAAATCAGCCTTAGTGTGTCTACGTCACGTAACACGTACAAGCAATGAACGATTGTCTTTTTATTAACTAACATTAACACAGATTAATAAATGTATTGTTCCATGTTCGTTTGTATACCGGGCGCAAGGTTTATGCGCATAGTCCAAGTCTTCTCCGTTTTTAGTGTATCTGTGTGGCAGAATTACCAGCGCCACATACTGGTCTGGCAGGTATACTACATCGTTTTGTGTCGGTTTCGTGTGGACGCAGATATTCCTTGAGACGAGGTGGGAAAAAAAAGATCGGATAGGGAAAGCTCTGGCTTCGTGTGGACGTAGCCTAAATTTCATAGCAGAGTTATAGTTGACTAAAAACAAACCATGAAAATTAATAAAATTAAATACATTTTAACTGAAATACAATAAGTTTACATTTTGTTTTATATATATATTTTTTATTTCAGCTAGTTGCCAAGGCAACATCTCTCATTTTCATTTAGTTTAACTTGATGTACTAAAATGAATTAAACTATATGGACAAATAAAAATGGCAAAAACACAATATAAATTATTAAACACCTGGGACAAATGAACTTAATCAGGACAGGAACAGGAAACTAACCAAATAAGGGCATAGGAAGGCACATGGGGAACAAGACACACACAAAACATGGAACAGAGTCTATACCATCCAATGGGGGGGGGCACACTGGAGGTCCCTCAGGACAGACACGGGACAGTGCGGTACCCATTCTGGGTGCCATGGCGGATCCGGAGCCTCGGGAGGCCACGGCGGAGCAGGGGACTCGGCCTTCGAGGAGCTGGATCCGACACTGGAGCGAGCTCTGGGGCTGGAGCCGGCACTGGAGCGAGCTCTGGGGCTGGCACACTAACGTCCTTTCGGCTTGCCACATTAACTGCTGGCTGACTTGACTCGGGAACGGCCGGCGGAGGGTCTCCGGATCGGGATCGGAGACTCTCCAGACACCGGATGACTGTCTCCTTCCAGTCGAGGTTGGTGGTGTCTGGGAGCTCCGTGGGATGATGGAATGTTATCCCGATCCGGAACAGCGTTGTGAGGATTTCCCCCTCGAGGGAGCTGGTGAGGGTGAGCGGCATGAATGCCCTTGCAAAGACGATGGGGTCTGGGCTCGCCTGAGCCAACGTGATGAACATTAATCGTTCCTCCATTTGGGGACGTGGAGGAACGCACGGGAAAAAAACAAAAAAACGGAAATCAAACAGGGAGAGGGGGTGCCGCTTACTTTTTAGGTCCGCTGTTCTGTCACAATACACTTCAGAGGAGACGCTGGAGAATACTTTAACAAGACTTTATTTTCATGCACCAAGGGAGACGAACTCGGGAAGACGTTTAACAGCGGACAGAGAACTAGGGACTGGGAACACTTTAAATACACACAGGAGGAGGGGATGATGAGACACACCTGGGAGCAATGAAACATCAATGGAAACACCCGAGATAAATGAATTTAATCAGGACAGGAACAGGAAATTAACCAAATAAGGGCATAGGAAGGCACATGGGGAGCAAGACACACAAAACATGGAACAGAGTCTGACAATATATTAATAAATAAAATTTTAAAATAATTAAAATGTAAAATATTTATAACAAAATATTAATAAAAACTAAAATACTATATATACACACACACTCTAATGTGAGAGATTCTAAAGTTTAAATTTATTTGAATTTTAAAAAACTGTTAATTAATTAATAAATTTTTAAACATTTTTGAAATGATTTAAAATGTATGTTTTGAAAAAATTTGTTAAATTGTTAGTTCCCTCCAAAAATCCTGTCATTTTAATAGAAAGAGCAGCTCAGACAATCTGTTAAACATTTCCTTTGTTGTCCGTCCTGACTTCTGTGGGTTTACTATGGGTTGAGAAAACTCATTTATCACGTTGGTTGTTTTACGGTAATTATTTCATATTTTGTGTGTGTTTGTTGTGATGTCTGTCAGTGGACGGATCAATACTCATATACTCTCATCAGTACAGCTGATCTCAAGAGTAATTATAACTGTGCAATCTAGCAGAAAATTATACCAACAGACTCAACGGGCTCCTGTTCTGCTTAGCAGCTGATATGTTGAAGATTTATTCAAAGCATCCAGAGTCAGTGTGAACAACAGAATCCTGATTAGTTCTGAAATAGAATGCAGTCAATGCTACAACTTTAAATACTAGAAAAAATAACAGAATGGCATAATGTGTCCAAAAGAGCAACATCTTCATGGGTGTCAAATTTTTTTTTTAAATAGTTGTATTGAAATTATGGGATATGAATGTATTTAAGATATATCAGTTCAACAGTTTTGTAAATTTTAACTATTGAATAGAAATGAGAATGTTGTGTTTAAAGGTACCTGCTTTTATCTGATGTTAATTTTTAAGGTCTAATAAATAAATCTAACACATCTAATAGTTCTGTCTCTAAAAAACATGGGATTTATTGCTTTAACCCTTGTGCCGTTATAAAAATCCTTTCCCTAATTTGGTGTTCTCGCCTTGAAATGTCCAGCCTTTCAAAAATTGCTCATAAATCTCTCATTATGCTATATTATTGGTTTCAATCTTTTTGTCAACTTGTTTTCTATCAATTAGCACAGGTTTTGTATTTCATTTTGGAACTGATTGGTCATACACTCTTAAAAATAAAGGTGCTTCAAAAGGTTCTTCAAGCGATGCCATAGAAGAAGCATTCAGTCAAAGGTTCTTTAAAGAACCATCTCTTTCTTACCTTTTTATAATCTGAAGAACCTTCTTTCACCACAAAGAACCTTTTGGGAAACAGAAATTTTCTTCAGATGTTAAAGGTTCTTTATGGAACCATTTAGACAAAAAGGTTCTTCTATGGCATCGTGAAGCACCTTTATTTTTAAGAGTTAATGCCTGAGCTTACCTGTGAAAAAAAAAATAATAATAATTATTTGTGGATCATTTAGGCAATTTTCACTCAAAATGAATTGCATGACCTCAGATCAATGAGGCCTATGATCAATTAGTTCAATCACAAGTTATAAAAAAAAAAAAAAAAAAAGACTGAATCCAATATGTGGTAATATTGAAGCATAACGAGACTTTTTGTAGACCAGTCATTTTTGACTAGAAATACTACAAGTGCAACAAGTACAAACATTAATCACAAAAAAACAAAGTTGATAGCAAGTCCAATGCAATAACTTGGCACAACTTAGTCCAACGTGATAACTTGTAAAATAGCATTTTAAGGAAAAGGAAAAAGAAAAGATCAAAGTGACCAGAACTCAACACAAGGGTTAAAAAAGCTGTGTCATCACCTGTCTCACAGACGTGCGTGAGACAAACCAGATGAGAATCGTCTCAGTCACAGGAAATCCTTCATGTAATCCTGCTCAGCTCATCACTTTGAGACCCGAGTTACGTAAGGCTCAGCACACAGATACTCACATATCCACACAAATTCATACGAACATGTTGTGGTAGAACAGGAAGATGAGAGGATAGAAAAGTGACCGTAAAATACAGTACATTCACTAACCACCTGATGACTGTCACACAAAACCAGAAATCACTTTTTGATCTCTTGCATTGTAGTCTGATTTAATACAGAGTGAGTAAAGTGATACAGGTGATTTCAATCAGTTCGTCTTAAACCAGGTTGATGCACTGAATGCTTTTGATGAAGACCTAATCACAGGATTTGCCAGGTTAGTGGTATCGAATTTTTATGGAGATACTCAGTTTTGTTTGAGGCACTTCATAGCAATTAGTAGCGGAATTGTACTTTATTTAGAATCTCCACATTTTTTGCTATTAAAGCTTTATTTACACTTCTTTGGTGCTTACAAACACGCAGCTTTTCGGTTCACAAGACATTAACTGATGTACTGGTGTGGGTTGCTTGTGATGTTTTTATCAGCTGTTTGGACTCTCATTCTGACGGCACCCATTCAGATCCACTGGTGAGCAAGTGATGTAATGCTACATTTCTCCAAATCTGTTCCCATGAAGAAACAAACTCATCTACATCTTGGATGGCCGGAGGGTGAGTAGATTTTCAGCAAATGTTCATTTTTGGCTGAGCTATTCCTCTAAGAAGCAAGATATGGATACCAGAACCGATGTTGCTCATTAGAGCGCAACATGCTAAAGGTGCCCTAAATAAGCAGTTGTGCTCTAATGCAGCATCCAGGACTGCTATACGGCTTATAAAATGTTTTAAAAGACACCAGCAGTGAATGCCACGGAGATATTTGCTCTTTGTGAAATATTTCACCTGATGTTATGAACTGAGCGGTGTAATGCAGTGGTCAGACCTGTCTGTCTGATCTGGGTGTAGTTGTGATCTGGAGGGATGAGGAGGATGTTTAATGAGGAGCGTTTCCTGCTGTGAAGTCTGCAGTGACAATGCTGATGGTGAGAGAGTTGCAGGATCGAGTAAATGTCAGACTTCGACACAGAAAGCGTTGAGATCTCCCTTTGTCTTTCAGCTCAGTGTATGTTTGCTCTCGGCACATGAGTGGACAGAGGCTTTTCTGGCTAATACCACTGAAAACACTGTCTGTTTACCTCCTGCATAATGGAGGCTTTCTCATTTCAAACACAAAGCTACACTTGATCTCACATAAACACCTTATTGTTTCTTAAAAGTTTGCTGAGCATTGGGCTAATTGCCTGTGCAGGAGATGATCAGAAATGCCTTGCTTTAAATGCAATGAAGACAAGAATTGCAATAATGTATATAGTGGATATACCCTTCAGAATTGTGTGTTCATACTTTTATGTAAGTCCTATCACTTACCATGGTTTTATTGGAAGTGCAATGTAAGTACAATGTAAATACCATGGTATATTAATACACATGATGCATAGTGCTTATCAAAGTACCATGGTATTACCATTTAATACCGTCATTGTACTGTTTCTAAGCCTATATAACGGGTTTGGAAGCTGGTTAGAAAATAAAACACAGCTGTCTACACTGAGAGAGAGACGCGTTAAAATGTCACATGTACTATAGACAGTTTCATTAAAGACAGCGTTTTATTTTTGTCGTTTAGAAAATATTCTTTGTCATTTGTTTTCGCGTTTTTCTCTTATTTCACTGGAGCGCCATCTTGGTCTGTCACGCTCACCTGCGCGAGGTTGATGAATATTCAGTAGAGCGCGCTCCCATTGGTCGATTTTCTGCTGACCTTCTCATTAAGGCGGGGACAACGCGAAACGTCTATTTAATATTCATAAGCAGCCCTGCTGGGGTTTTTAGCGGTTGTGCTGCAGTAGCAGAAACGCAGTGAGGAGAAACAGACGAGCGTTATTACAGTAAAACATTACAGAAGAAAAGAAGTGAGAGCGTTTGTGTTTTTTTACAGGAGTTTCCTCAGGTTATGGTTTCATTCTCAGCTGTCTAATGGATCTAGTGCAGTTTTATCACCCGGAATCTTTTTCCTTCCCTTCTGAACAGAACAAGTAAGTAACTTTATTAATTTATATGAGCATAATTAGGCTTTTACTGTTGTATTGTACTTCATTTGGTTTGCTGGAACTTTGTTATATATATATATATACATATATATATATATATATATACATATATATTTTTATTTTTTTTAATTATTATTAGTTTTTTATTATTTAGTCATTTAGCAGATGCTTTTATCCAAAGCGACTTACAAATGAGGACAACAGAAGCAATCAGTTGTAGTATTAAAACAACTAAAAACAGATCCAAAACTAAAAGCTAAAACGTTATAGATACTACTTATACACATTTTAAAAATAAATAAATAAAATAAAAATTACAAACGCATACAACAAAATTTCAAAACTTAACATTTAAATGAAAAACAAAAAATAAAGCTAAAAACAATTCAAAATGTTAAAGAACAAAAGGTATAAGAGTATGATAATGATTCTAACATAACACTAAGCCAAACACCAAAAAAACAACTACATATGTGTATGTACAACCATACACACATGCATGTATATACATACACATTTATAAATTCAATATATATATTATTTCATTTCCATTTAGTTTATATATATATAATATTGTCATTTAGCATGTAATCATAGTTTCCCCTTTACTTTATAGTTAAATATACACTGTAAAAAAAATCCGTAAAAAAACGGCAGCTGTGGTTGCCGTAATTTTACCGTAAAAAAATATGGTAGCAACGTTTTAGGTTTTACGGTTTTAACTTAAATTTACAGTTAAATACCGTAAGTTCATTAACTGATATAATGTTAATATACCAACCTATTGAAGTACTGAAATCTGTTTTGTACCTCTGTAATACACTGATAACCACCAAATGCAGGAGGTGATGAGAAAGTCACATGATGAACCAAAGCCCATCACAAGCAGCTTTTAAATAATAACATATATAGAAGGTGCACAGTGCCATTCACACAAACACTAAACACCATCATGGTAACACGCATGAAACTGAAATAATGCAATAAACATTCATTTAACAACATTAGGTGTAAACACAACCCTAATATACAAAACTGATAAGGAAAAACTAAGAAGAAACATAGTTATTTCAACAAAAAAACATCACATTTGAAATGTAAAGCAGCAAATTCTGGGAATGTCAATTTACGGTTATTCACTGTAAATTATACGGCCTTTTTCACTTCCAAAAACGGTATACTACCGTAAAATTAATGTCCAATACATGTAATGTCCAATACAGTTTTTCACTGTATATAGTAGGGGAATTTACCGTTAACCATTTAACAGGTTTTTACTGTAGCATTTTTACAGTCTTTTACCGTTAAATTCACGGTAATTTTTTACAGTGTAGGATATACAGGATCATATAGAAACAAATTAAACAAAAAGGCTCTAATGTTCTTGCACTGATTAAAGGAGATCCCATATTAATTTATATTATGTAGTAACAATTATAAAAATAGTAAATGTGTTTTTCCATAAATCAGCAACTTATCAATAATAAATATTTTAGATGCACATTCCACTTGCAAACTCTCTATCATCATCAGACTAAGATAACTAGATTCAAGTTTCCAATCAGAACTAAAATAATACAATAAGAGAACCTGTTTAATTTCCACAAAAACTTTTTATACTTCAACCTGTGATTTCTGGGTTCTTTAAAACACCACATAACATTCCTCAAGTTTTTTAGAAAACATCATGCTTTAAAGGACCCAGAAACCAATATGTTGATCGGAAGAACATGTAATGTACCATCAACTATTGACCAACCTTCATTTTGAACAGAGGGAATGATTACTGTGTACTTGAAGTAAGAATTGTAGTGATCACTTTGAAAGAATTGAGAAACTATGGAATTGAGGCAGAGCGCTTTTAATAAGCACACGTTCTGGCAGCGTTCGCCGAACATTTTACAGCAATAGCATTTGAGATGTGTGATGGAGTCACAGGTAATTCCTCTGGATCCCAGACAAAAAACCCTGATGGGCTTTAGGATCACGTTACTGGCCGCTGTGTGTGTGTGTGTGTGTGAGAGAGAGATGGAGTGATAAAACAGGTGTGTTCAGGTGCTGTGTGTGCTGTAAACATTTTGTCTGACTTGGTGGGAAATATAGTTGTGCTGATAAAAAGGAAAACCACTAATTTGCTGTTCTGTCAGATTGGAGATCATTTCAGGGTTCCATGCACTGTAAAACAAATCCTGGTAAATTTACAGTAAAAATGGTTTAAGGTTCATCAAAATAGTCTTTCTGTCAACCATGGCTAATAAAAATACAAACATTATAAACATAAACAACCTGTAGAACATGTACAGCATGACCTGCACAAGGACAAACACCATCAGGGTGACACACGTGATGTTAAAATAATGCTTTTACGGCTATTAGTTTTAATGCTGTTTAAACATGAAACAAACCTACACTACTGTTCAGAAGCTTGGGGTCGGTACGATTTTTTTTTTAGGATTTTGAAAGAAGTCTCTTCTGCTCACCACGGCTGTATTTATTTGATCAAAAGTACAGTAAAACAGTAATAATGTGAAATATTAGAATTGTAACTCTTTTCTGTTGTAATATATTTTAAAATGTAATTTGTTCCTGTGACGCAAAGCTGGATTTTCAGCATCGTTACTCCAGCCTTCAGTGTCACACGATCCTTCAGAAATCATTCTAATATGCTGATTTGCATTGCATATGATTATCAATGATGAAAACAGTTGTGCTGCTTCATATTTTTGTGGAAACCTTGAAACATTCTTTCAGGATTCTTTGATGAATAGAAAGTTTAAAAGAACGGCATGTATTTGAAATAAAAATGTTTTGTAACATTTTAAATTACTTTATCCTTTTTAAAAAAAAATCAAACCCCCATTTTCAAATGTACATATAAATAAATATGTACATATATATTATTATTATTTTTTTTATTTTTTTTTGTACTAATTATGAGATGACATCATTTACTTAAAACATTTTTACATTGTTTTTTTTTTTTGTGTGTTTGAAATAAAATAATAATTTGCTATAAAATGTGTATTTTCTTTCATATGGATTTGACTATAAATTAATGCACTTGGTGCGGTAAAATTACATGTATTGTTTTTTAATCTGTTTTTATATCATTTATATGGCTAGAAATTTGAATTAAAGTATTAATATTTTTATCATTTTATGATGAGGTCAAATGCTACATGTTTTTAATGTAGCATTTGACCTCTTTCTTGTAAAATATCTAGCATTTACAGTGTGTGTGATAGTAATCAAATTATTAAGACAATTTCATTATCTTTATTACTTTATTGTAATAAAGATAATGCAGGCATGCATTTGTCTGTTTCTTAATTCTCATTATTCTCTTCATTTGCAAAGCTTTCTGGACATGATGTCAATCGACGGCCACTGTCCTGCCTACATCAAGACCGAACCGTCGAGCCCTTCTTCCCTGTCGGACAGTCTGACCCAGCACAGTCCCGGGGCGTCGTCGGATGCTGGGAGCAGCTACAGTTCAGTAACTAAAGGGAAGCCAACAGGTCTGGACTCTCCCGCTTCATACACTGCGGCTGAGGCGGCTCTTAGGCCTCCCGGCGCCCCCTGCAGGCTGCTGGAGGAAACACAGGTGAAGGGTGGATACGGGCTGAGCTCGGGCCCCAAACGCTTGTGTCTGGTGTGTGGAGACGTTGGGTCTGGTTTTCACTATGGAGTGGCTTCATGCGAGGCCTGCAAAGCGTTTTTCAAACGTACCATTCAAGGTCAGGATGCCATCCTGATGTCTGTTTGTGTGTCCATCCTTCAATGTTATTTAGTAGCATTGATATACTATTATCGTTTCTGCTAATATTTTGAATTTGATTCTGAATTTTCTGTTTTTATTTTTGGTTAAAGTTTTAGATTTTGTGTGTGTGTGTGTGTGTGTATGTAATTTTTATTAGTTTTTTTTTTGTGTGTGTTTTTATTAAGTTTTAGTTATTTTAGAACCGAAAACAATGCTGCCTTGGCATCTAGCTGAAATAAAATTAGTTAGAATTTTTTTATATTTTGTTTTATTTCAATTAATGATTATTTTATTTCATGTAATGAACCTGTTTTATGGCTTTAGTTTTGATGATTACGCTGTATTAAATATATTTAATACATAGTAAGTGAAACTTTCTTTTGGTTCATTTTCACGTGAACACATTGCTCAGTATCCAGTGTGATGTGCTTTGTTTATATACTACACATTTTGACAAATATAGTAGGTGATTCAGGTGTTTAAAAGTTTAGGGTCAATAAATTGATCAAAAGTGACAGTAAAGACTTCTGTTTCAAATAAATGCTGTTCTTTTGAAAGTTCAATGCATGAAAGAACCCAGAAAAATGCATCATGGTTTCCACAAAAATATGAAGCAACACAACTAAAATATTCAAAAGCATGAAGCAGCACAAATGTTTTCAACATTGATAATAATCAGAAATGTTTCTTGAGCAGCAAATCAGCATATTAGAAAGATTTCTGAAGGATCATGTGACACTGAAGACTGGAGTAATGATGCTGAAAATTCTGCTTTTATCACAGGAATAAATTACATTTTGAAATATATTGTAACAATATTACTGTATTTTTGATCAAATAAATGCAGTTCGTCTAGTTAGTGAAAGTGTGTCTGCGTGTTTAGTATACAGTTGTTGCTAGATGAATATTTTGATGATGATGGTCTGTTTGTCTCTGTCAGGTAATATCGAGTACAGTTGTTCGGTCAGCAGAGACTGTGAGATCACTAAAAGGAGGAGAAAGTCCTGTCAGGCCTGCCGCTTCACTAAGTGTCTGTCTGTGGGAATGCTGCGAGAAGGTGAGAGCGTGTGTTAATGAATCTCATAAAAACAGTCACATTTCACTACAGAATCCAAAGAAAATGAAGCCGGTTGTACGCGATTATTTTTATAATGTTTTTTGTATGTTTAATGTGCTAATGTAATGGGCTTAATTGTCATCAAATTCTAACTATACATTTTATTTTTGCCATGTTCTTGACAGGTTTTGTGAGATTCGCTACATGCAGTGCAATAAAAAACATGAATGGCACTCTAAGCAGGTTCTTTTGATTGGTTTTGCTATGAAAGTGTCTGAGATTAAACACACACATATATATCACGGGCTTCTGGAATATGCAGCTGTACACAAGTGCTTTCATAAACGCAAATGTAAAAATAATAATTATATGCAGTCAGCAAATAGGCAAAGAGTGTTATATTAGTGCAGGTGTGGAGTCACATTACTGCCAAAAACGTAGAAAAGACTGTTTCCTGTTTCATGCAGCTGTTTATTGCAGTCAAACTCTTTATTTCTACATAATGAGCAAGTTGTTTTTCTCATCCCAGGATCTATTTTATGTTTTTCATTGTGTGTGTGTGTGTGACTCAGGTGTGCGTTTGGACCGGGTGCGAGGAGGACGGCAGAAATATAAGAGGAGAATCGACTCTGATTCCAGCATCTACTGCAGTGTCCAGCAACCTCACAGAAAGCATTGTAAGAACCACACTGCATCTCAGTGTATGTGTTTACCATACGTCCTGTTTTTCCTGGACATGTCCTGGCCAGCATTTCTAAATTGCCAAAAAATGTCTGGGTTTTGGCTTGGTTTTACTATAAAGTGCAACAGTCGGATTCCGGAAGCCATCAAGCCATCTTTTTTGCATTGTTTCAACTTACAGTATATTTTGAATAATTGTGTTTAACAGCAGAATCCCTGGTGAAAAACAACATTACCCACGATGCTGTGTAGAAAATCGCATCAAACGAACACTGAGCTACGCCCACTCCCATGATGCACTGCAAATGACATAATCGAATGCATATTTTGCAATAAATAAAATTTGTTTCTATATATACAATCAGCAACTTTAAATGGATAGTTGAATTTCTCCATCATTTTTAATTCGATTTTGTCATTTGCAATGGTTCATGTTTCAAGCCCGTTAAGTACACAGTCTGGCACCTTTGCCTTTTTGTCCGATTTTCAAATACTTCTTTGCTTCAAATAAAAGTTTGTAATGTTGTGATTCTTCTCATAGATGGTTAGTTTGGTTCATAGCTTACAGCGCTTTAACAAACACTTTTTTTTAAATCCCTATGGGAAAAATGAATGGAAAAAATACTTGTTGAAAACGTGGGCGGGCATCAATGCACTCTATTCATACTTGCTGAAGGTAATGACTGAAAAGGAGTTTGACCAATAGCGTGCAGGCAATGTTCATAATCAACCAATCAGGCGGGATCTTCAGAGAACGGTCAAAGTAATACAACTAGATAATATATGCAAGTATATGAGAACTGTAGAGAGCATGTCATCAGGAAAACAAAGCCGAAACCTGGACATTTTTGGCAATTTAGAAATCCCGTAGGGAAAATGTATGATGTAAAAATTTGTGCTAATATTCTGTGTTTCTTTTCGTTAGCACCCTGCAGCGCTCAGGGGGAGAATAAGGTGGTGGCCCTGCTGTTGGGGGCGGAGCCAGAGAAGGTGTGTGCCATGCCTGACCCCGCCCTCCCCGACAGTGACATCAAAACCCTGACGACCCTGTGTGACCTCGCCGACAGAGAGCTCGTGCTGAACATCAGCTGGGTCAAACACATACCAGGTACTAACAGACCAAAGAGACTTTAATCACACACACACACACACACACACACACACATGTATTATCTACCATTTGTTTTGGATACACAGAGACAAAGTGCTGTTAGTTCGGATGTGCTTCTGTGTAACCTAACGACACACACATTCTGTGACACTGGAATGTCAAATGCATTAGATGCTTTCAAATGAATTTGATTATGAAATGTCTTCCTGTACACAAGTCATCAGCCCTTTTAGCAGCTCTAAAGTTAAACACATTCACACACACATTTATGTATCTTTTATGGTGTGTTCATGGTCACTCGCTCTAGATTACTCGCGGGATGTTTTTCGTGTCACTCGAAACAGCGCGATCAACCATGGTGGAGATAACTACCATCGCTGTTTTGTACCTGTTGTCAAAAAGTCTCAAATACAATGGAAAGCCAAACGCCGACGTGTCTGGGTTCACAGCACCATCCAGAGGAGGATGAATAACGTTAGGATCCTGTATTAATGTGTGTGTTACATTTTACTACTGTATATATACAATGATATTACTATTATTTTTATTATTGATAGCAGCATCAACGTGTCAAGAAACTCTTCGCTGATTGGCTTGCGCGAGAACGCGTCATGCGAATTTTCCGCTCGAGTTGACATTTTTTAACTTGCATAGAAGACTAGATTGAGGCGAATATCGTGTGTTCATGGCAAACGCGTCGCACATTTCGCGTCGCCCAGCACGAATTCACCTCTATTTGCGTCTTTGCGTTGACTTTGTATGTAATCTACTCGCGTGAATAATTACATTCGTGTGTGGTGTGAACACACTGTTAGTCTTTCGTTGGTATTAAAGCTAGTATATAAATATATACTCTACAGACGACTGTAACGTTTGCTTTATTTATAAATTATTTTTCCGAGGACGCCCTCTGTCCTCATTCTTCGAGGTTTCATCAGATTTCGCTCACTTTTACAACTATATCTCAGTATCTTAGTACACACACACACACACACACACACACAGAACTGGCCAGCACCTGTTTTTGTGTTGATACTGGCCTCTGTAGTAATGCTTACAAAACAAAACACAAAACCAGGTGTGTGTGTGTGTGTGTGTGTGTGTGTGTGTGTGTGATTCTCTTTAACACGTGACTGTTTGAATGCATAGTTTTGTGCACTGGATTACAGTATTTGGTAAATAAACACTAGTAGTTCACATTTGAACAGAGACACCGTGAGTGAATAAGTACATGAGTACATACAACAGACTTCTGTTGTTTTTATAAAAGGTTAATAATACCGGCTACACAAATTCTGACAACGAATGCAAAAATCAATTTTTAATCAGTATTTTTGTTTCGTTTTCACGTAAATATATCTAGACATTCTTAAAGATTTATTCTTTAAGATTTCAAGATAAATTAACTTGGGAAATACAATTGGACAACACATTAAAACTTGTTTTCAGAGAATACGTCTTTATACATTTATGTACAGTATATGTTGTACAAAAAAAACACATTATAATATTTAAAAAATACATTTCATTTCAGAAAATTTGTACAAGGACTATTCAGCCCTTTTACATAAAAATGTTTGCAATTCAAAATATAAAACTAATTTCTATATTTTTTTATATAATTTTGTGAGGTCTGTACCTCAAAACAATAGTTAAATTTACAATTAAAAAACGATATATATATATATATATATATATGTGTGTGTATGTATGTATATGTATGCACATACACATTTTATATTATTATATCTTAAAATTATATATAACTATTATAATTGTTAGATATTTTTTCAATAATTTGATATTTATATACTTCTACATTTTATATTTTTATTTTATATTAATCTTTATTCTTTTTACTGAACAACAAAACAACACTTTATTTTAAAAACATACTTTTTTTTTGTTTGTTTAGCTCACTTCTGTGAACAGTTTTGTCCCCAAAGTATAACTAACTGTGTGTGTCCATGTTATGATGACCAAATGTTCTCACAATGAGAGTAAAACCTGACATTTTTGACCTTGTGGGGATTATTTTAATCCCTATGAGGAAAACATCTTATAAAACATACTAAATAGTTTTTTTTTAAATGTAAAATATATATATATATTTTAAATATCTTTGAATATACAGTTTGTACAGTATAAAAATCATTATGTCTATGGAAAATCCCCTCAAAACATAAAAACCCAATGTGTGTGTGTGTGTGTGTGTGTGTGTGTGTGTGTGTGTGCATGTGTGTTTTACATACACAGGAGCAGTTGTGTGTGTTCATGTCAACAGTGTGTGACAGCAGCATTGTCTTTTCCCCGGCGTCTGAAGCAGGACGTACAATAGAAGATGACATTGCTAATTTAAATGGCTCTGGGGTTGTTTTATTTGTGTTGTTTGAGTGTCACAAGGGCCCTTTGATTCCGTTAACACATTTCACAGACGTCGATACAACTGCGTCCCCGGAGCTCAGCATGAACGGCAGCGCTGCCTCATTCAGCCCGCGATCGATCAGCGCTGAGATCCAATCAGCTAATGAACGTCACTCAGGAGGAGAGCGAGTCATTACAGCCCCTGATAAACATCAGTGATGGGTGAAAAATCAAATCAAAGCTCCTCTCCTCCTTCACCACACCAAACTAATCACTGGCTTTTTAATTAAGTGTGAGAGAATGTGAATGAGAGAGACTGGTCCGTCATTGACGCTGTTCTTCAGGGACAAACCTCTGTCACACACATACACAGAGAAGCTTTCTTTCCTAACAGAGGTCACAGTCCAGTGTGAAATTAGCTTTAAAATAAGGTGGGTTTTATCTGCCAGATTTAAAGGTCATTTCCATTCATCTGATTCAATATCTCCGAGGCAGATTTTTAGCTGATCAGTTGTATTTATTTAGACATTTGACTGATTGTTTTTCAAATATAGTTAAGTGATTAATTAGATAAATTTTACTTAGCTGGTTGGTATTGAAATTATTTGGTTATTTAGCTATTGAGTTAGTACTCTGTCAGCTTGTTTGAGTTATATAGCTGACTATGTACTTATTTACTGTAGGTGATTAGCTAGTTATTTAGTTTGTTTATCAGATTAGTTGTTTTGGAAATTAGTTGTTTGTTTAGATATTTAGATGATTGTTAGTTGGCTGATTATTTACTTAGCTGTTTTGTATTACTTAGCTGAGTAGAAGTTTAGTTAATTAAAGGATTAGTTATTTAGCTGGTTATGTTTGTTTATTTATTTATTGATTTATTTGATCTGATTAGTTGTTTTGGAAATTAGTTGTTTATTTAGATATTTAAGCGACTGGTTATTTAACTATTTAGCTGTTTATTTACTTATAGGTGTTTCGTATTACTCATTTTGCAGATTAGTGGTTTAATTAGTTACTTAGGTGATTCGTTTGTTAATTATTTGATTATTTAGTTAGGTGATCATATGTTGTTTATCGTTTATTTAAATTATGTGATTAGTTATTTATGTAGTTTATCTTAGTTGTTTAGGAAATTAGTTGTTTATTTAGATATTTAGGTGTTTTTTTTATTTATTTAACTATTTATAGCTGATTATTTACTTATTTAGGTGTTTTGTATTACTCGTTTAGCTACTTATTTAATTAAGTGATTAGTTATTTTGTTATTTATGATGATTTATTTATTTACTTGTTTAGGAAAATAGTTGTTCATTTTGATATTTATGTGATTAGTTGTTTATTTAGTTTATCTTATTAGTTGTTTAGGAAATTAGATGTTTATTCCGATATTTAGGTTGCTTATTTAGCTATTTATCTGTTTAGGTGTGTAGTATTACTTTAGTTGATAAGTATTTAGGTGATTAGTTGTTTTAGTTATCTGATAATTTACTTATTTAGGTCATGATTAATTTTTTTAGCTGTTCATGGAATTATTTGTATTGGTTATTTATTTAGTTTGTTTATCTTATTAGTTGTTTAGAAAATTAGATGTTTATTTAGATATTTAGGTGATAGGTTATTTATTTAGCAGTGTATTTACTTATTTAGGTGTTTAGCAGATTCATTCGTTATTTAGGTGATTGGTTGTTTTAGTTATTTAGCTGAATATTTACTTGTTTAGGTGGTGATTGTTGAGGATTTATTTATCGGAGTTGTTTAGATATTTAGGTGCTTTTATTATTTCTTTACCCGATTATTTAGATAAGTTGCTTATTTAGTTATGTGTTATTTTTTTAAGCATACGGTTATCTGATGATTCACTCCATCACTCTTGCAGGTTTCTCCAGCCTCTGTCTGTCCGATCAGATGAGTCTCCTGCAGAGTGCTTGGATGGAGATCCTAATCCTGCATGTGGCTTTCCGCTCGCTGCTCTGCGAGGACAAGCTGGTGTTTGCAGAGGATTACATCATGGATGCTGAACAGGCCAAATCAGCAGGTCTTCTGGAGCTCCACAAAGCCATATTACAGCTGGTGCGCAGGTACAGATCCATGAAGCTGGAGAGAGAAGAGTTTGTAACTCTGAAAGCCATCGCTCTCGCCAACTCAGGTAAAGATACAGGTACTTTCATAGAACATTTCTGCAAGGACTATTTAAACAAGGGAACAGATTTGGAGAAATTTAGTATTCCATCACTTGCTCACCAATGGATCCTCTGCAGTGAATGGGTGCCGTCAGAATGAGAGTCCAAACAGCTGATAAAAACATCACCATAATCCTCAAGTAATCCACACCACTCCAGTCCATCAGTTAATGTCTTATAAAGTGAAAAGCTGCCAGTTTGTAAGAAACAAATCCATCACTGGACTCTCATTCTGACGGCACCCATTCACTGCAGAGGATCCATTGGTGAGCAAGTGATGTAATGCTACATTTTTCCAAATCTGTTCCAATGAAGAAACAAACTCATCTACATCTTGGATGGCCTGAGGGTGAGGAAATTTCAGTCAATTTTAATTTTTGGGTGAACTATTCTTTTACATGAACGTCAGTGCAAAAATGGCTAATAGCAACCTTAGATATTGACTAAGTAATGTAATAGACACATTACCTAGTCAATATTTTTGACCTGAATGACCCGATGTTTTGATTCCCTCTCTCAGACTCGATGCATATAGAGGATGTGGAGGCCGTTCAGGGTCTGCAGGACTCTCTCCATGAAGCCCTTCTGGATTATGAGTGTGTCCATCACAGGGAAGACCCTCGACGGACAGGGAAACTCATCATGACCCTTCCGCTCCTCCGCCAGACCTCCGCCAAAGCCGTACAGCACTTCTGCAGCATCAAGCAGGACGGACGCGTCCCCATGCACAAACTCTTCCTGGAACTTCTGGAGGCCAATGTCTGATCCTTAACCTGATTGGACCGTCAACCAGAGGTGACACGCCCCTCCTGCACACGATTGGATGAAGGGTTATTCACACATCCAGGGGAAACAACAGACACTTGCCAGGACATATAACAATAATACAGGATATACTCAAGACAAATACAGTTTCATATAGTTGAGGATAAGATAACTGTAAAAAAAAAGAAGAAGTATCAAATATACACTGCTGTTCAAAGTTTTTTTTTTTTTAAATGAAATTAATGAGTTTATTCAGCAAGAATTAATTAAATTGATCAAAAGTGCCAGTAAAGATATTTATAATGCTGAGATTTCTATTTCAAGTAAATGCTGTTCTTTTAGTTTTTCTATTCATCAAAGAATCCACAACACATGTATTATCGTTTCTAGAAAAATATGATCTGTTTTCAACATCGATAATAAGAAATGTTCCTTGAGCAGCAAAAGCAGCATATTAGAATGATTCACTGAAGGCTGGAGTAATGATGCTGAAAATTCAGCTTTGCAGCACAGGAATAAATTACATTTTAAAATATATTCAAACAGAACACAGTTCATTTAAACTGTAATAATATTTCACAATATTACTGATTTTACTGTATTTTTTATCAAATAAATGCAGCCTTGGTGAGCATAAAAGAGTTTTTTCAAAAACAAATCGTACGGAGCCCAAACATTTAAACGGTGGTGTATCAGTGAGTGCTGGATGTGAATATCATTAAATTATTGGAAAAAAACGACATCTCAAATTGAAGGCATTCATTGTTTGCATTTTCATTTATCCAAGTTATTCAAGTTATTTTTATTCCGTTTTCAAAAGAGCTTTATCACATTAGAGAGTGTCATCCTTGCCAAATAAATAGTAGTCAATAATTGCTCTTCTGACACCGATATGAAGAAAAAAAGTGTTAAACAACATCTACTACAGAATTTAAGGTAAAGGGCTCAGAGATGCAGTCTAGACAGAAATATAACGTATAGATGAACAGCATTTAAGTGCGCAAACATCAAATAGAGATCAAAGTACCAAAGCACTTTTATTGAGTGACATGATTAGCATTATAGATAATGTTCTAATGAAGGATTTTTTGTCTCCAGATGCTCATAAATAGATCTGCACACAGCTGCACAACCAAAGCTGATTGCAGCTTTTATTTATTCCATTTTTGCCATGTTTTACCACATGAACATTTCAGCACACCAAATTAGAAGGTTCTTGCTCAGTCAGTGACAGAAAAGAAAAGCCATAGCAATATCTGTTTTCAGCCATACACAGAGATGGGAAAGTATCTTCTGAAGCAATAACCGAACACATTTGAATTACTGAATTCGTCTTTGAATGAGATCCACCTCAAAGAAATAGTTCACCCAAAAAGAAAAATTCAGTCATTTACTCGTTCAATACTGAGGCATTTCATACATGTTGTGATGATCAAATATGAATATGTTTACTATAATAACACTACAAGATACAAGTATTTAAATGAGTTAGTAGAGAGAAATGTGTCTGTAAATATGAATAACAGAGCAGACTGATTCTCCGGTGACGTTCCTTCAGTCTCTGTGAGGAATTCTGACTCTGTTATTTGAGGTTCTGTGTGTTTTTCAGCATTTCTGCTTGTGAAGGTTAGGTTTGTGGATGTTGTACAACGCTCTCAATTGTGTCTCCTCATTATCTGTTTGATTATATGCAATAACTTTTTGTAATAAATGTCAAAAACAGTCAACAATAATGCATTAAACAGTGGACTTCACTTACGTTCTGGCATCTGTGTTTTTCATCTGTGATTTGAAGACTTGAGATGTTTTTTTCCCAGCAGGAATTAAAACACTTCTGTTAGGAGAGCAAACACCGGTCTGGGTTATATTCACTAAAAACAAACTGATTATTCTGCTTATGAGCTGCATGCATCACATTAATTTGTGTTCAAACACAAAAATGTCAAATTATTTAATTCTGGATTATGGCAGTCTGATTGTTTCCTCGTCAAAAAAGAACTGCATGACAAATATAAAAAAGCACAGAAGTGTAAATTTGACTTTAAACACTGAGATTAGCAAATATTCATGCATCATACCATGAATTAAAATAAATCATTACTTTGAGTTAGATAGTACAGTCGTTAGGTCTGGTGATTTAGTGACAGTGATTTTGCTGTGGTTGCTAGGGTGTTTTGACTGGTTGCCAGGGTGTTACTATAGTACTTTATGTGGTTGCCGGGGTATTCTGGGTAGTTACTTACTGGTCTGTAGATACCTCTATCAATGTTTGTCTGCAGGATTTTTTTTCTCTGAGAAAGAGAGATCATGGTAATGGCTGTTGTAGCTTTATGTCTATGAATAATCGAGCTAATCGATGCAGATGAATTATCATGCTGTCAGACGCTCCACCCGCATCATTTCACAGGCCGTCAGGAGCCATCAACACATTAGTGTCTCTGCATTGAGAGATGCCACATGAGTCATTAATGAGGCAAGGATAAAAGTTGCTTACATTGGAAGAACCCTGTACGGCTCTGCTAACAGAATGAAAATCTAAGTGTGTGTGTGTGTGTGTTTTGAGCTTGCAGGACAGATCCCGCTCTCAATTTCTGTGACTATCACTATCTTTGTAGTTGGGAAGTACCATATTTTATAATATTTTCTGAAAAAGATTTGTGCATGTCTGTCCAAAACTCTAGGGACCCCGCTGTATGTATTGAGTGTTACATTTTAAGCCTTGCTTATAATAACAAATGTTACACAGTTTTAAAATATTTATAATATTATGACACTTACATTGTAATAATAAATTGAGATGGACATTGAAATATTTATCGTTGTAATTGTTATCTTAAACGTTTTCAACTTCAAAACTGACGTTTATAAGGTCTATAGTGTATAGGACCAGAGTTGCCAGGTCCGCTTATAATACACGACTTTGGGCTTCTTCTTTTATTTTATTTTTTTTGTTAAATTGCTTGAAAAATTCCCGGGTTGCGATTTTTATTTTATTTTTATTTTTTGGCTTATTTAAAAAAAAATACGGTTGCTTGTAAGGAAAATCAGACAAGCAACTTAGTCTCTTTACATTTATGTTCGCTGTATTCTCCAGTGCATTGATTTAAACTCTGTCTGCTCACAGCTAATAGCCAATCAGTGCAATAATAAAAGTGCTGTAGCGTAATTCGTCAAACTTTCCTCCCCCTCGCTGGAGAAAAATCTCCTTCAACATGAAGGTGTGTGATGCTGTAATCCAAGCGATGATAGTACAAACCCAATTCCAAAAAAGTTGGGACACTGTACAAATTGTGAGTAAAAAAGGAATGGAATAATTTACAAATCTCATAAACTTATATTTTATTCACAATAGAATATAGATAACATATCAAATGTTGAAAGTGAGACATTTTGAAATGTCATGCCAAATATTGGCTCATTTTGGATTTCATGAGAGCTACACATTCCAAAAAAGTTGGGACAGGTAGCAATAAGAGGCCGGAAAAGTTCAATGTACATATTTTGCCAATTTGCAACTTATTAGGTCAATTGGCAACATGATTGGGTATAATAATAGAGCGGGATGAATTTCTTTTATAAGGTACATTTTTAATTTTTACAATGTTTTTGTAGTGTGTTAATTATCGCGGGCTATAATAAAAAAACAAGTAGGCCTATACTAACAGTATGTGCATTTGATTCAAATATATTTTATTGCGCTATAAATATGTGGCTATGTTACAGCTCCCCCTTAAAGCTCTTGTCTTTTTCTCATTTCCATTCCTATTCTGTTCACAGGTGATCGGAGATGAGTGATAGTGCGCGCCTCCCGCTTTATTGCAGTTTGCTGTTTTTGCTTTTCAAAAAAAAGAGTGGTTTCAGTTTACAGGGTTTCTGCGGGTCCTTCAAAAGTCTTACATTTAGCTGTCAAATTTAAGGTCATAAAAAGTCTTAAATGGTACAGGAAAATTAGGCTAATTATGATTTCAATAGGTGTTAAATTTGAGGACGGAAAGACCAGAATTGTGATATGGCTTAATGTGACGATTAAACTTCAAAAGGCTATTGATTTCATGAAATAAACATGAGCGCTGCACTTTTCAAAGTCAAGAGAATGAATGTGCATTTTCAATAAGCCCATCTGCTGTTTTTGTTCAGACCAACGCTAAAATCAATGTTAATTCATATATTAATTGACTGATAAAAATTAAGTTAATATAATAATTGATACTTTTGACATCCATTTTCTTATAAGTGGTTTAAAGGCTGAAAACCTTTTTGTGAAAACCTGTATCTGAACTGTAAATCACGTTATTCCATAACCCATACCGTACCCCGGTATTAATTGTATTTGTGCAAGTCTTAAAAAGCCTTAAATTTGAGCTTGCAAATAGTACCCTGGATTAATATGTTGCAGGCTCATTTTTGGTAATAAATAATTGATGATAAATAATACTGATGATAATAAATAATAAAATAATACTGGGCTTGTTTTTAAAGCTTTGGTTGCTTGCTTATTTGCCTCGTGAGAGTTGGCAACAGTGTAGGCAAAACGTGCACGTTTTTTACAAGCAAGAGACCATAAAATCACCGTGAAATCAAAATGGACTATTCTTATTTTTTATGTAATATTTCAGTGTTTATTATAAATGATTTATGCATGCACATCATTATTTTCACTCATAAATTGAAAACCGCACCGCTGAGAGGAGAGGAGCTCATATGCTCTGCTTTCTTTCAGGCTGAAAGTGAGTTAGTGTGATTAATTACATCTGCAGATGATTTTATCCCGGAGTGCATTAATTCACTAATAAAGCCTCAATGTCTCAAACGCGACCAGGCGAAACGTGAATGCTGAGCAGGGAATTAATGGATTAGCATTTCAGCGTCATGATAAATTAAATCCGCTCGGTTTAATATAGTGAGCACTTTACATCAGGAACTGACTCATCCAGGGGCCTCATATAGGTCTATCTGATCATATTTCAGCAGATTGATTAGCCTATGTCTCATGAATGTTTCAGTTTAATACTTGTTGTAATGCGGCTACTAGTAAACGTGATTTGTAAATGTTAAGTCAAAATTGTAAATAATAATAATACATTAAAACAACGATTATTTCTTTATTTCTGTATTGCTCTACATTTCGTGATCATCACAAAGACCGCAGTGACATGATGTTTGGAAAACTGGCGAAGTTTCTACTGAGCAAATTTAAT